GAAACTTTTGACCCTTGACCGACGCTTCTATTTGTTACGCGTAAATCGCGGAGAACGCTATCTTGTGTTTATAAGATCTTTGCCAATGATTTAAATTTTGTGTGCGAAATAAGCTTATATCAATTTAAAAATCTTTATTTCCACAAACATCAAGAACAATGGCTAATTTCAATAATGAAAAGTTTGGAAAGTATACGCAATATGCTTTAAAAGGAGATGCAATGTTCTAAAAAATATTGTATATAATAGGGTATATGATAAACCAATATTTGAAAGCGTGGTAATAATAATTGGTAACTTAAATGTTACTAATATACTGAGATATGATAATAATAATAATAATAATAATAATAATAATAATAATAATAATAATAATAGTAATCTGTATCATAATATATTTTAATAATAATAAATAGTTGTAAAATATAACACAACGCTTTATTATTCATCTACCAATATTTCAACTAAGTCATTCAGTTAATGTCTGCGCCTTCCTTAGACACATGTAGTCTAAAATTGCACGTGTTAATTTTAAAAACTTAAGAACAAGACAAAATTTAAGTTAATACTAAGCAAAATATTTTTTACACGCTAAATCTAGTTTTTATCTTTACAGATTTTTATATTAATCTTTGCTATAAATGAAAGTAGATGATCGTCTTAAGCCACAGAGTTTTAGATGGGCTGTACATCAAGAGACAATCTTTTACTTTTGTTACTGAGAAAACTAAAATACAAAGTCACCGCACGCGTAAGGCCTGGTGCACGGAATTACGAGCAAAAATATCCCAGCTAATATTTTAAGGCTCTGTCTTCACTACCACATTTACGTGACAAATCCATGTATGGACATGATTATTTAAGGCTTTGTCCCAGAATATTTTAAGGCTCTGTCTATACTATCACATTTTAAGTGACAAATCCACATATGGACATGATTATTTTAGGCTTTGTTCCCAGCTAATATTTTAAGGCTTTGTCTGCTCTCAAATTTTACGTGACAAATTTGTGTCATGTATCCAGGTACGGACATGATTATGTGATAATAACAACCAAATATCGGCATGTGTCTATCACATTTATTTGTCACATAACATTTGATAGTGTGTACGGAGCTTTAGGTTACAATTTGATGTATGCAACATTTTTTGTAGAACAATAAATATGTAGGCCCATCTAAAGTAAATTTGCAATTAAAATAACATTGCAACGTTCCTGCTAACCGCAAACAATATTCGCGAAAGTTATAATAACGTGTTGGGGTTTGCCATGTTTAATTCATGCAGTCTGCTTTCGTTCTTTCTTTTCTGTTATCTGCCTTTATCCCTTGTATACCGTTTTTTCATTCTTTCTGAGCACTCCCTCAATATGATGCATTGAGACTTGCAAAATGCGCCTTACAAGTCGGTAACATTGCAACGTTGCTGCTATACCCTATACAGTATACCTAAAACAACATTCGAGAACGTTACAATGACGTGTCGTGCTTCTTCTTTTTTTTTCTTGGTGGGGAGTGGGGGTAATCAGAATTCGTGAGCTGATAACAAGAACAGAACCAGGTAAGTGAAATTCTAGCTCTCAACGAATGCTTTTTTTTTTTTTTTTTTTTTTTTGGT